GTTTGAAGCAGATCTAGAGCAAGATCTGTCGTATACACTTACGCTGGTGACTTTCCTCTTGATGTTCTCCAGGAGCCGTTCCTGGCCTCGGATGAAGTACGGATGCTGGAATTCAGTATCGTCTTTCTCTGGCTTCACCAACCCTCCCTGCTCGATGTGGACAACCTTCCGAAAGCCATCTGAAAAGCAAAGGGAGAAAAGCTTAACAGGCTAAATAGGAACTTGAGAAAGCAGAAACCAGCTTAAACACCCAGTGCTCCGTCACTGCGGTACTTCTTTCCAACCGATCTCATCCTAAAAATGCCACGTGGGACGAGAAACCCTCCCTGAAATTGAAGGGATCCACTTCCACATCCTAGAATCATTCTGAAAAACACCTTGTGCTGCTCTCACAAGACCAAGTAATGCTGCCGCTTGGCTGATAGCATGGGTGAGCAAGAAGAAAGGCTGGAATTTCTGGAATGAAACCAAGAGTCTCCCATTAACCTCAGCAGGTCCCCATCAAAGCCCCCCACTCCCAGGGAACCGTCCCAGTATAGGAACAAACAGCTCCTCGCCCAGTATAGGAACAAACAGCTCCTCGCCTTCTCAATGCAGAGCAAGCCAAGGAAAGACATCTATTTCAACAACACTTTTTTCAAGGATACCACCGAAACTTGAACATTTCGCACATGCTCCAGGCAATCCCAGAGGGCTGATTTTTTTTTATTCAGGGAATAAAATGGGCTTTGAGAGCAATGAGCTATGGACTCAGCAACACGCACAATGCAGATGAAGCACGGCTGCCCATCAACCCACACACTAATGACAATATGGACGCTTTGGGAACAAAACTACAAGAGTGTCCACCAGCACAGGATGGGAGATGAGTTATTTCTGCATTTAATTGGGCTCCCAAGCCCCCCCCATTCTCATTTTCAGTGCCGGCTCTGCGACCCAACCCCACGACGCAGATGGCTGCTGCCAGCATGCCTTCAATAAATCTGCACACTCCAGGCACCCTGATCCTGAACTGGGAAATAAGGAGGAACTTCCTTATAGCAAAGGAGACCTCACGGCACAGAAGGTAACCGACTTCCCAAGGGCTTCAGAGCCTTTCCAGAAAAGTTCCTGCGGAGGGAGGTGCACAACACCCCTATGGCAAAGCTGCCCGTCTCTGCTGCTCTCTGCAGACAGGGCGAGCAGTGCTGTAGCAGACGTTCACATTCACAATCTACTCACCTTCATAATAAACCTAAAACTCTTTTAAACCTGTTTAGTCCACTTTAAGACATATAAATTCACACTGTTTTTCTCATTGTAATACATGACGATGAAAAACATCCTGGCCCAAAACAATTCCCCAAATTTTTTGTAATTCCCACAGCAACTCGACCTCCTGGCGACGGTGACAGTGCAATTCCTGCGCTGCCTGGGGAGGGCAGGGGGACGGCAGAGGCACGGCACGCCGCAAAGGGCTTCCTCAACAGTTCAAGTCTTCCCATGTACTTAAACCACCTAAAAGCCACTCAGGAACAGAGTGTAGTGCATCAAAGTATTTTTGGATCTGAGCATTTCTGTAAACCGCTCAGACAAATGAAGAGTGTGACGTGAGCTGCTCAGACCGCAGCTGTGGTTACAAAAAAAAAAAAAAGCTTCCTGCACTTGCAGCAGAAAGTGATTTAGAGAAATTACCCCTTATTGTAGTGATATTAGCCAGTGTTCGGTTATTCAAGTGATCCTTAAAAACTCAAGGCCCCAGTGCTGGAGCAGCGAGTGTGCCCCACAGCTATTCAAAGAGCCCGTGTTGAAAGGTAATGAAAATGTCATCCTTTCTAATAACATCGGAATGCTCTCTGCAGCCCACATCTGGAGCATTAAAGTTAATCCCCGATCTAACCTCCACGTGAGAGGTGTATGAAAGGCATCCTTTATGCTGCTGCCTATCGCAAGGACCCGCAGCCAAACCGTAACGGCAGCTCCGTGCGCACGGGGAGGAAGCCGAGCAGACTGCCGTGAAGCAACGTCTCGGGGATAATCCCAGAACGTTCCCTGTGAGCTGGCAGGAAAGAGCAGCGACGAATGCGCCCATCAATCCCAGAGCATTTCCACAGTCAGGCAGTTCTCCATTTCCTTCCACATCCACAGGGTCAGAGGAGGATTAAAGAAGGGGGGGAGCATGGAGAAAAAGAATATTGGTGGATCGGTAGAGGTTGGGGAAGCAGTAGCACGGAGACACTCAGTCAGAAGATGCTTTGGACAGTTCTCCATCCCTATACCCAACCTGAAACACCAGCTGGGATCCAGTTGCTCATACAGAAGCCAGAGCAGGAGGAGAGGTGATGTGGACAGGCTGGAGAGGTGGGTGTGTACGAACCTCACGAAGTTCATGAGAGTTGGAAAGGACCCTAAAGATCATCAAGTTCCGACCCGACAGCCATGGGCAGCAACCTGGGCTAGTGGGAGGTGTCCCTGCCCATGGCAGGGGGTTGGAACTCAACGATCTTTAAGGTCCCTTCCAACCCAAACCTTTCTGTGATTCTATGATTCTAAGTTCCCCAAGGCCAAGCGCAAGGTCCTGCATGTGGGTCAGGGCAACCCCAAGCACAAACCCAGGCTGGGAGGAGAATGGATGGAGAGCAGCCCCCAGGAGAAGGACTTGGGGGTCTTGGGGGATGAGAAGCTCAACGTGACCCAGCCACGTGCGCTGGCAGCCCAGAAACCACCCATGTCCTGGAGGCATCACCAGCAGCGTGAGCAGCAGGGCGAGAGAGGGGATTGCCCCCTCTGCTCCACTCTGCTGAGACCCCCCCCCGCAGTGCTGCATCCAGCACTTCAGGTAACACAGAAGTACACAATCAGGCTAAAAATGAGCCATTTGAGAAAAGTGCAGCAATAACTGCACAGCCGTACTAGAAACAAGCAAGTCCCAATAACCCCAGCGTAGAAACTCATGTTCCATTTCGGGTATCTTCATCTTTCCTCCATATCCTTCAGCAATCCCTGTTCTTCAAGCAAACAGGACAAGTAGCACAGGGACAAACTCTGAATTTAGTTTCAAGTTTGAACATACATAACCCATGTCACTCAACTCTGAAATAAATTGAAATCCTCACGCTGCCACCAGTTGCGAGCTAAGAAATCCCTTTCACAATTTGAGTAAATCAAAGCCCCGTAACACCGATTGGGAAGAACAGGATCAGTGCTAAAAACCAGATAAAGTGCAGCAAAAAGTTATAACCACCTGAAGATGGAAGTTACATTTACTCATTTTCTAGCACAAGACGTGAAGCTGAATTTTCCATCGTCTCAATACTGCATCATGCTATCGTGGTAGTGTCCCTGAACACATCAAAAAGATCCAAAAGTCTGTTCAAGGGCAGGAATTTTGTTTGGAGAACCCGATTCCTGAGGTCTTAAAAACTAAAAAATCTCAGCTCCATTTCTGATTAGAACATGGGTTTTTTTTTCCAGAAGCATTGAACCACTTGGGACAGGCGTTGTTAGAAAGAAGTTTCAGCCCTGTCTTAGCTTAGTCTTGGAGATTTATCACTTCTTTTCCCCCCTTTTAAAAGAACACCTTATCCCTCAGTTGTGCTTTTGTCCCATCACCCAGTTCTGCTCCAGCTCCTGTGTCCCTCCTGTTGAAAGGAGGAGCTGACCCCTGGGGTGACGTTATTCCGCTGCCTGTTTAACACGACATCCACCGAGAGGGAGCAGAGCAGGCACCTTGCTTTCTGCTTTGCATTCCCCCAGGTGTGAGCCAGAGAGGCAGCTTTCACCTTGGTTTCCAAGCTCACGCTCAGGCTTATCCCATTCCAAACCGCTCCAGGATACGTGAGTACCAATGACACCTGCAGACACGGGCTTTGGAGAGAATGATCACCCTCCTCCCTCCGAATGCGAGTCAGATGTGGCGACAGGATAGACAGAAGTGCAGCTGGAAAGGTCGTTTGGAGACGAGAAGCAAAGCTGAAGGAGCCTGTCCTCCTGCAGGTGACATCCCACCCCGCTTGCTGAGCCTTCCTACCTGCTGTCCTGCCTGTCCTCCCGCAAAAGAAACTGCAAGCGAGGCAAAAAGCAGCGAGAAGCGATGTTCTGGAGGTGTCTGGCTGTCCCGTGTTTAATTACATGTAGGTAGCTCAATGCCATCCCTGTTCTCCTGGCACGGTTTGGGATTTTGGGCATCCCTCTCCTCATGGGATGGGAGATGGAGTGTTCCCTGATCTTCAGGGAACTCCTGACCCTTCTCAGAGAGCTCTGCAAGCAGGTGCTGCTTTTCACGTACAAATGTGTGTAAGCAAAAAAAAAACCAAACTCAAAACCAAATCAAGCTTTCAAAGACACAAGGTCTGACGGAAAGGGAAAAGAATTAAATCTCTTTATAGCCACAGAAGAGAGGAAAGAAGCGGAGGATTTAAACTGTAGCTGGGAAGGTTTGGGTTAGACATTCAGCAATCAACTCCACTGCTTCACTATCCTCACACCCACAGCATTTCCTTAACAAACTTACGGGCATTTCCTTGACGAACTTTGATTGCTGGAGGCTTGGAAAAAATAGGTGAGAGGGGAGTGATCAGGAACAACACAGAAGTAGTTGATCCTGCCTCGAACCGAGGATTGGACTAACGGATTGTGAGGTCCCTCCAGCCTCACTCTGCTATGACCCTATGGATTACTTTTTTAATAATTGCTGTTTAGAAGAGCAAGTTCATTCAGTGCTGGCTCTACACAACGCTGGCAGCAGCATCCCCTCAAGAAGGTGAGTGGAAAATGAACAAGATCAAGCTTAAAACCACCACCTGGTCCCCAAAACCTGAGTGACTGCAAAGCCAGCAAATCCTCCCAACTCAACGAGATGTCCCCAACATTAAACCTGGGCACAGGAGGGGAACCTTATTTCAGGACGAACTTTACGCTTTGTGCTCCGAGCTGCCCAGGAGATACTCACACATGTTGAGCTGCCGGACGAAGCTGGCCATGTTGTTGTGTTTGAAGTACTTTGGAAGCACCTCCTTGGCAAATTGGCCTTGGTCAAACACATGGAAGCTGTTTCCACTCTGTCCAAAAAAAACAAAACAAAAGAAAGCATAATTAAACACCGTTACACAGAAAGAGAGAAGAAGCCTTTTTGTTTCCCAAAGAGAATTCCACACTGCTGTGGGTGGGATCAGTAACGGCCCCATCTCTCAGAGTCCCTCAGCTGCAGGTAAAAATGTAATTTACCAGCTTTGTGTGGAGTTGTCACCATCAGCCCAGCAGCGTGAGGGAGGGGATTGTCCCCCTCTGCTCCACTCTGCTGAGACCCCCCCTGCAGTGCTGCATCCAGCTCTGGGGTCCTCAGCACGGGACAGACACGGAGCTGTTGGAGTGGGGCCAGAGGAGGCCATGGAGATGGTGCGAGGTTGGACCAGCTCCCATGCGAGGACAGGCTGAGAGAGTTGGGGGTGTGCAGCCTGGAGAAGAGAAGGCTCCGGGGAGACCTTCTGGCAGAACTTCTGGGGGGCAGAACTCCAGGAAAGATGGGGAGACCCTGGCCCAGGTTGCCCAGAGCAGCTGTGGATGCCCCATCCCTGGAGGGGTTCATGGCCAGGCTGGATGAGGCTTTGGACAACCTGGGCTAGTGGGAGGTGTCCACCCAAACCATTCCGGGATTCTATGACCAAGGCAAGCTCCCACGACCACAGTCCAGAGGAACTTCAACTCCACCATTCAGCTCCCAATGCAGGCAGCATTCAGCCTGTCGCCGCGGCTCAGTTGAGCCAGGGCAACCGCACATGGGAGCACTCTTAGCCCACAGGGGCTAAATCATGTTTCCTCGCACTCAGCCCAGCAGAAGAACATTCATCTGTCCATCAGCAAGGGCAGGCAGAGAGCTGAGAACTTGTTACACTGTGAACCAGCTACTAACGCTGAGGAACCAGCAGAGCACAACTCCCCAGAGAGTTAACAATGCCACCCAGGAGGTGAAGCGGGCTACAAACATCAAACCTCAGTTTGCAAAACTGCACATCTATTAATTCCCCAACTTGTCCCAATTAACTTGTTTTCACAGCTACAGCAACGGCCAACAATCTTCCGAGCAAATAGAGACAACCAGGCTCGTCCAACTTCAGACCCCGACATCTGCAAACAAACGGAGACAATTCCGCGTCCGCCCAGGCTCGGGCAGTTCGCTGTGCCCGTGCAGACGCTGTCCAGAGCAGCTGAAAGCAACACCTGCTGCTGGTGGAGCCAGAGCAACGCCGACAAACAAGTTTTATTTTTTCACTGCAACCAATAAACATTTTCTACATGTTGATGTAAAAAGCAGGAACAGGTATGAGGCGGGAGGAAGCAATCCCGCCCCTCTGAACCCCGAGGTACCTCTGCTGCAGGATTTTGGAAAACGACTTATCACCAAGCAGAACAGTGTGTGCCAGGAATAACTAGTTATTGTGACTATTATAACTATCTTAACTAGTTGTCAGGATGGTACTGCAGCCGTTTAGCTTTCGGCTTTGTGGTGCTGTTCCATCTCACGTGGTTTCTATCATCTCTCTGGCACGCTGAGCAGGAATTACACCGTCAACATGAGCATCTGCAAACCAGCACCAGAAGGGATTTGAATCCTGGCAAAGCGACACAAGAACCCCAAATGCATTTTACAACCTGGATTTTCTTCCATGACAAAGTCCTGCTCCTGCTCCATCCTCCTGCTAATATAGTCCCACCAGCACACGGCGCTGGCAGCAGCACCGGAGCAGAGCCAGGCATGATGAGCTACCAACAAGTCATTGCACGGCCATGAAGCCATCAGAATTCTGAGTTCAAAAACAGAGCGGCAGGGCCAGGCTGGACCACCCACATGAGAGCCTTCAGAACTCCAAAGTCCCCCCCAAACACAACAGTGACTCCTGGAAAGCACCTTCACAGGCACGGGCTGATACTTCCAGGCGTCCTCGTTCCAGCTGGGATGAGATTAACTCTCTGCACAGCGGCTGATGCGAGGCTGTTGGGGTTTGTGCTGAGGAGAAGCTGGCAGAGCTGCTGCCAGGACAGTCAAGGACTTTCCAGCTTCTCTGCGGTGCCCGTGTCTTCAGGGGCAGAAGCTGGGAGGGAGCACAGCCCCAGTTCCCAGCCCAGGATTCCACCTCAGGTTTGGGACTGAGACCCAAACTGGCCGATGGTCTGTTCCATCCTGTGCCTGGCATGGCCAGGAGAGAGGTGAGGGCTGTCCGGAAGGGCTCTCTCCTGCTCCAGATTGTCTCCCTCTGGGTCAGCCCTCTCTCAGGGTAGACTCAATCTCTTGGACTCTTGAGCTCTTCTGTCTGTTCTGGGATTGGGGTTTCAGGACTCTCCTTGCTCCGGGATTGTTGGCCAGGAACAGGCTGAGCCTTGGTCGTCAGTTGGTGAGCACTGTCACTGTGTGTCACCCATTTGTATACTTGCACATATTACTATATTATTCTCATGATTATTATCATCATGATTATTACTGTAGTTTTGTTCTTATCTCACTCCACGAGTCTCTTTTCCCTCACCCCTTTAATTCTCTCCCCCTCTCCAGAAGTGGGGAGGGTGAGCGAGTGGTTGTTGGGGTGTTTTGCTGCCAGCCAGGGGCAAAACCATGACACTGCATTAAACTAGGTTATGCTGCATGAGGTCAGAAGAGCCCCCTCGCCCATTACTGGGCTGAGCAAGAAGACGAACACAAAACCACACACACCCTGCAAACTTCATTCTGGCCAGATCAGCACTACAGCCAAACACCACGAGCATCTCTGGACAGTCTCCAAGTCCCAGCACAAACCTCTAGGGAAAAGATGAGGCCGAGATCTTCTGCAATGACATAACAGTATCAGACCAATATCCACAAGACTACATTTTCAGACAGGCACGGCTTATGTTTGAAGTTACTGGGCAAATTCAATACAACATTCATCCTAAAGAATTAAGACTACTAAAGAAAACCCTCAGACTTGAAAAGATTCCACCTGTCGATAAGAAAACCAGGTAAGGGTTTATTAAGAGTTGACACTTTGGGCTTTTTGGTCCATGGGCTTTTTTACTCCTTCAGAGGACTCATCTGTGTTTATTTGTCTTCATTAAGGTCCTTTACTTCTTGTCCAATCCTTACGTGTACTCTGAGTTGATTCTTATAGTAAAAAATGCAATAGGAAGATGGCAATGATGGAAGGCAGCACACACTGGCCACCTCCCTGAAGATGGCAACCCACAAGAAAGAAAACATTTCCGAGTCCCACTCCAAGACTTTTTGTTTTGTTGGAGTTGCTCCACTCCAGAATTTTTGCTTTTTTTGCCCCCTACAATAACAAAGCTTGCCGGTAGCCTTCCCTGCGCACTCCACAGCACCACAGCCTTTCGCTGTACGTTGCGCATCCAAAACACTCCGCTCCCGTTATCTCCGTCCAGATCTCCCAACCTGCCTCCCCACCCCACTGCTCCTGCCCAGCCCTGGGGATCTGCCCAGGTCTAGCTACTCCACAAGAGTCCATCCATGCCACCAACAAGTGTTACGAGACTTTTCCTCTATTTTCATGGAAGGGTGGCTGTTATGGCCTCCAGCTTCAGGAGTTTCATCCAAGTCTCAACAAAGAACAGGTCCAAAGAAGGGGGGAGGAAGAGGGACCTCAAGACAGCCTCCCAGACTTCAGATCTACCAGAAGCACCACATTCTAGCCTGTTTATGGCCAGCTTACGCACATTTTCTTGTACTCACACCAACCACCTTTTGCTTCACCAGCTCTTCTCCCTTTCTGGAGCCAGTCCAACGCCAATCGGCACAAAAACATGCCCACCACATACTGCCGATGCTGAGTGTGGCTGCTGCTGCAAAGCAGTAGAAGACCTGGGCATAAACTGGAAGGGTAACAAGTCTACGGTAGGTCAGTGGCTTACGGGAAAACCAACCTGAACGAAATTGTCTCTAAGTGACGGGATTATTTGCACAGTGAGGACTAAATCAACCCTGCACCGGCATTCACCAAATTCTGCCTCATTTCTGTTATTCCAGTTCTCACGGTTGTCTCGTTTCTTCTCCATGGCCTTCCAAATCTTTGCTGTGTTAACAAAGCCCAACAGCGCTTTGTGAAAATGTTCTCAACGCACCTTCTGCGTCAAAGCTGCTACAAAAACTACCTTCAAAAAGACAGTTCCAGGATTTGATCTTCGAGCAGCTCCACTGTAATCTTGCTTCAGACTGGAGCAACCCTCCAAAAACTAACAGTTGTCTCTGCTTTAGCCAGTGCCTCCCCCACAATTCTTACATTAATCCTCATCTTCTCCACTTTCATTGATGATTTTCCATGCCACAGAGTATCAAATGCTTTGTGGAAGTCCAGACACATTAGATCTGTCCCAATTCCTTCATCCAAAAAAGGATTTGTCATGTCCAGAGGAGAGGGGAGGAGGTACAATCAATTTTTGGTAAATCCAGGTGGTATTTTATCCCATTTTCATTTACTTCTACGGCTTTAGTTATTCTCCTCCTCAGAATCATCCCTAAAGCAAACCATCAAGGTCAGACTAGTTAGTCTCCTCTTAAAACCAAATATCTTATACAAACGAGGCCAAGCGTCTTTCTTGGGGTGACTGCTGATGTTGCAGAAAGGGGGCGAGGGGGCTCCTGTCCCAAGTCCCTCTTCTCCCTCCCTGTTAGGGACCATTTCCCAGCAGTTACCAGGGTTTGTCAAAAGGGAAGAAACGATGCAGGCGGATCTTTTCACAAGGCACTGCAGAAGTTCTGCTGGTAAAGTTGATCTTGCGTAATTTTGGTGTGATTTTATCTTGACGTGTTCCAAGTCCAGTTCAGACAGCATCAAACATTTGAGCAGAGATCGGGTTGTTTGGTCAAAAGCCTCGGCTCTCCCCAAGAGGGGGACAACGTGAAGTCAAGATGACTCATGTAACACTAGACATCTTCACCGTGTTGGCCAGCACCGTCCTCACTCCTTGTCTAGACAGGCTCTGGCCACCCACGGCACGCTCCAGGTCTCCACATCTGCACTGAAACCCTCCTTGCTCTTCCCTTTCTCCTCCTGCAAAGCCTCGCTGGCTTCAGATACCGTTTATTCTTCTGCTGGACAAAAAAGGAGGTGCCTCCAAATGATTTTCTAAAACTGATGCTAGAGAAGAAAAGTCAGTTGATTAAGGAAAGAGTCTGAGTTTAGGCTTGGTGCAGAAA